GAGCAACTTCAGAATGAACTGCTCTAGACCTGGGATTCTTACCCCAGAAGATCCCAGTTACCACTTACCACTCACCCGGGTTTCCTCCTTCCTTCGGTCCATGGTTTGAGTCGTTGCCTGGAACCACCAGCGAATCACCGTGGGAGCGCCCTGGGTACACGACACCGACACCACGACCGCCTCGCTGCGGGGCCGCCCGAGACCAGGCTTTGCACGATCCGCTTGCGTGCTGCAAAGTGCTCTTTGACCTGAGCAAAATGGACATGGTCCGCCCTTCAGCAGGGCGGTGAAGAAAAAACATCCGCCAACAGAAAGTGATGGTTGATTTGTTGCTTTGCATTCAGTTTTTTTTATTTTTGTTGTATATGTGTTGTTCAAACAGCGGCCTGCTTGTAGGTGGCACTGGTTGGCCTGAATTGCTGGGGATGTGTGTGCGTTTTCTGTGAAATAAACTCCAACACTTTCTGGACCAAGTCATTGTGACACAAACGATGAGCCTTAGACGCTGAGCCTTAGACAACAGGCACTGTGCGTAGGAATGGAAATGGAACATTCTTCACCATCCACCTACTGCACCTGTATACCCCTTCAGATCTAATTGATGGTTTCAGCTCACGAAAAAGAACATATATCAGTCATTGGGTTCAATCATCCCAAAAGTAAAACGGTCGAAAATGGTAAAACATGGTCAAACAAAAGACACATACCTAAAACATGGTTGAAAAACATGGTTGAAACCCACCACCCAAATCCATCACCCCGTCACCGATCGCACCCTCCGGACCTTCCCACCGGTGGACCCCGGTCAACCAACCTCGACCGGCGACGGCGTCCAGCGAATCGGGTGCTCCGTGCCCAGGTGATGCCCCAGAGTTCCGGAGCTTCGCGCTGGAGCTCCACCTGACGCGTTTGGCCAAACGAAAGGCGTCGCGGCGAACGGCACGGATTTGTTGTTTTCGATTTACCGGATTTGTATGCCAAGATGACAGGCCTCATTATAAGTGAATGCCGCAACAAGATACAGAACACATGAAAAATGGTCCTTAGGCTAATTGTTGATCCTTTTTCTTCGAAACAAATCAAAGGAGGGCCAAAGGGCTGGTTGATCAGAGCCTGAAAGGTCCGGGACTCCAATGCATGGGCCGCATGGATCGCCTGAACGCGGATTCATCCGGTGAAAGCCGCTGGTTTCATCAGTTTGTTCGGGTGTAAACCTGCTGCTATTTAAGACACTCCTGCTGGAATACAAAGGGGTTAAGTGGACGTGGATGTTCACCACCTGTTTTGGTACTTGGATTTCATGGTCATCCAAAGAATTAGTGAATACCATAGAATACATCCATTTTGTTTCTTTCACCATGCTTATTTCAGGGAATGTACTATAGTGAATACAGTGCTGTACAGAGCTGTACTCAATTGACGCCTTTCAGAGTAAACCACTTACTGTCAAATGGACCAAAGACCAACCCTATCTGACAGCACTATAGGAATATCATAGACCTTGTAGAATACATAGACCTTTGGGTCTATCCCATTACCAGGGCCCAGTTCATCATGATGGGCCCAGGTTGCAAGGCGACATCTCAAACTATAGAGTGATACTCTTCAACCGCCGACGATGCTGGTTTAACTGGGACAAAAGATAGCTTCTCATAAACAGGTTCTCGCTTCTCCGCCAGTCGGCACGGTGGCACGAGCACGCAGGAGCACGTTCTGCCCCTATGAAAACCGAACTTTGGAAGAATCCTTCAGTCAAGCACTGCCCTGTTCTACGAGAAAACCACATGCTGTGTTTGTTCAACTTGGGGGTTACTCAGACTCTAGGTGCAGGACACCATTGGAGCAGGTATCAATTCAGATTCCAGGAAACCATCATCCAAGAATTATTGAGGCACCTAAACCATCAACATCTAAAGCATCTAAAGTCGCTCAAAAACATGTTCTTGTTCACTGCCCCCGGCCTCCTATGCTTCTTTTGTTCATTTCGAAAACCGAGCACTGCTGTCTGCCCTCTTCAGCCCTCCCAACAGGATCTCCTTCTCGTTCGTCCTCACGAAGTCAATACCTTGGGATTCACTCTGATGGGGGCAGTTGGCACCAGCGACACGGGCTCATCCTTCCTCCCTGTTTGCAGCAGGTGACCGTGCATGACCCCACCTAGACCCGTTGTCAGATCACACGTCTGTTCAAAGACCATTTGCTCGGCTCACCTTTGAAGTGTGCACTGCTGTTCAACACGCGGAGAACATGTTTTTTTTGGACACGCCTCAAGTTTCCTCTGCCTGGGAACTCATTCTCCCCAGATCAACGCCAAGCTGCAGCGAGACAAAATGGCATCTGCCATCGCCTCAAGTGTGCAGGATTCCACCCAGGCCCCCGGAAAGCAGTTTAGAGGGTTTGCTAAACAAAAAGCTCTCTCTCTCTCTCTCTTGAGAAACACATAGTAGTACAAAGGGTCGTGATTCCACATGCGCGAACAAATAAAACAGGCACCTTCCCGACCAATGAACTGGCTGGGACAAAGATCAATTGTATGCACTCCTGTCTTTCTCAAATGATGACGATGATGACTGGGGGGAGCAAAACCAACTCGTTTCTATTCAACAAGTACGATTAAAGTTGAATCTCAATTCAACAACATGATCTCAACATATCTCAAACGCACGTTGCCCAAAGTGCCCCCGGGAACATGATGCCAATGACAGGCACGTCCATGCCTGCACCAGTCTGAGGCCCGGACTATGCAGTAGTTGCTATCGAGCCATGGCGCTGCACCAGAAAGCAGCAAAGCAAAAAAAGAACAATAACTTGGCCTGAGATAACTCACTTGGTGTGAGACGGAGTTGACCACCATGTAGGACAGGCCACTAGCCCGCCTGAAGAATAGTTTTGGATCCAATGTCAGTGAAGCGAATCAAAAGTCTGGGCAATTAAAACGGAAGTTGCAAAGGACTTTCCGGTTTCTCTGCAGGAGTTATTGCCAAAAACCATGCTCCATCACTTCTCATTCGTCTCCGTGCCCCATGCTTGTGCTTCCGTTATATCAAGAAGTAGCTACCCACGCTTGACTAGTTTGCCCCTTGTTTCAAGCAGATTTCTTTCTACAAGAGACTCATCCGTCATTGATGATGAATGCTGAACACTAAATCTGTCTGAAGGGTGCCTTTCCCAGTTTTCGCTAACTATATAGGCTTCTATCTGCAGGGCGTTCATATTTGAGCTAGTTGTGGAATGGTTACTTGTCTCACTCAGATGTGCTGATAGAGGCTGGCAAGTCGAGACAAATAGGTTAAGTTGACTATTTGTGACCTGGGCCTGGATATTGAACCACCAATTCCTCAATTTGGATGACTAAACATGCAAACCAAGTGGCAGGCAAAACTGTAAACATGGCTTGGTGTTGACCAGCTTGGCACCCAAAGCATTTTTTCAGTTTTGTCAAGGAATCCTGAAGCAACGTCAAAGAGTGAATTATCTTGTTCAACATCTCTAGATCTCCAACGTGTCCAAAGAAAACGAGCAAACCACAAACATCATAATGCATAAGAACCCCAGGCACCCATGAATCTATCAATGTCCTTCTACAGGACTTATTGGGGTCCCCTTGCCACCCAGAAGTAGCTGTGACTCACCAAAGAAAAGCCGATCGGCCACCAGAACCACAAAAGAAACTTCATCAGTCTTCATCTACACAAACAATGTTGACCTCCTTACTAGTCTATTCTGTTTTTATTTTGTGGTCCACCAGGGCTCCACAGCCATAGTCTATTTCCTCACCAGGGGGTTGAGGTCTGCAACTCTTCGCTTCTGGAGGTCTTCAGGTTTCCGCCCAAAAGGCCCACGGCTGCAACGGCATCTTCATCTACACAAAGAAGATCCACTGCCACCTTCTCAGGAGGTACGACTGGGCCCGATCCAGGCGCCTACATAAATAGTCTCCTTCCTCACCGTAAGGTTCGGTACGACTGGATCCCTAGGGTACACAAAGAAGATCCTATTTGGTCCACTTGCTCCATGCAAACTTCTTCGAAACCCACCGAGGTGGTTGGGTCTCCAGTGGTGTCGCTCCAAACCCACCGGGACTGGCGCTCCAAAGATCTCTCGAGCCACGCCGTTTCTTCGCGAGAGCGGGCGCGCGCGTGCTCGACTCAGCGCCGCTCTCCTGAGTGCGGGGGGGGGGGCAGGTGGTCAGTGTCGTTGGGACGAAGCCATGGTGAATGGGAATCCAAACTGATTCTTGGAGAGGTCAAAGTATCCACTTCAGGAACTTTTTGGAACTGTTAAGGGATCTTTGGAACGTATGAATTGCTTGGGATGTTGTACATTTGTTCCTTTTCACAGCACGTACACAAGAACCTCTATTAGTCTATAGGTGACCCCTTGACAGTTGTGGGCTTCTATGAGTGTTCTTGAAAGGGCTGAAGAGGAACGAAAAAGCAAACATATACAAGTATATACGAGCAATTATCGTCAATAAATGTATGGGGAACATATGGGAACTCGGAACACTCATATGGGATTTGTGGTGAACTAACTCTCAGCAATGACATATATATACCTGCGGCCTGAAGGTCGCTTTATTTCTAGTCGTTTGAAAAAACCCTGCAAATCTGAGGCCCCCACAAGGCTATGACAAGGTTTTCAGGCGTTTGGCATCTTCGATCAAAAAAAACAGTCGTTTGCCATTCTTGCAAACCTGATGGTTCCTCCCTCTCCCCCAGCTTGCGTCTCGCAGCTTTTCTATCCCAGCTCAAGCATCATTTTGGTGGCCCTGCTGGTTTAGCCCGAGGCCCTAGCCTTCCGGTGTGGAATTCCGTGTTCTTCCACATGATCAAGCTCTTGTCTGGTTGCTAACAGATATCGTTGGATGGTTCTAAGCGATTGAAGCCTGGGAGATACACGCCGACTGAGCCTGGACACCCGCCCAACCATGTCTTCATCTTGAAACGTTGAATAGGCCAAGGGGTTGATGATGTAATCCGAATTCGCTTTCCCCACATTTAGTGCGAGATGGTGCCAAAGATGTAGTTTTGGCACCAAATTGTACAAGCACTGACCTTCCTTGAAAAGTAGTGTACCAGCTTTCCATAGCACTGCGCAAAATGCAGGGCTGCATCCCCAACGATCTTTGCTTCTGACCGATCCAGCCACAAAGCTGAAGACAACATCGTCCTCATACAGACACCAATGGCTTTGCAACCACTCCGGATCAGCAAATCAGGGGTGGATTCACCACCAAACTTTTCTACAAGCCACTCTGCGAATTGTACAACTACAGGGGTGTCCATTGCCTTGTTCCAATGCCCAACCGGGTAAGCTTTTGAAGAAATGTAGCCAAGTAGATCTTTTGTGATCTGCTTGAAGTGCACAACCTTCTTGCTAGAAAGCAGAAAGGATTTGAAATCTGAGTTGAGCTTCTCAATAGCCTTGGGGATACTTTCAGCTTCATACAGGGTCATAAGGTACACGAGGCTGGATGCTCCAAAGTCTCGGCCAACACCAAGATGGTAGAGGTGAAGAACATCCAACTTGAAGAATGATGGGGGATCTTCCGGCGAGTGCGGCAGAAACTGCAGAAATGGGGGGGTACCTTTCCCACGGTAGAGGGTTTCCCTGGCCAGTGGTCCTCAACCATCTTGGGTTGTCCGAGAAATCCTCGAATGGTATGCTGCCATCGGGTTGCTCAGAACCTGCCAAGCACAAAAAGCAGCAGCCTGTCAACGGTTTGCTGCTTGGTCCTACTGGTCGCTTCCTGATGTGAAGAAAAGTCCGATTCATGTTGCCAGCTTTGGCTAGGAAGGGCAAATCGCCCTTGACCCCAATCACACAGAATTTGAATACAACTCCGGTCCTCTCATGTTTGACCCCAACATGGTACAAAGACTGGAGATCCAAGGCCATGTGCTCCAAGAATCGCTCAAATGTGGACGGGTCATTCGAGTAGATTGCCTTTTGCAACACTCCAAAGAGGAAACGGGTGGTGAAGGAATGCCCTTTCAAAGATACACCAATTGAGTTTGGCTTGACTGGGCGGGAATGCATCGTTCCATGCCCCATGCATGGTTGAAACTGGAAAATCATCAGCTCGTCATGTTTGTATGTCCTGCCCCCATCACCATGTATGTACACTGGTATCAATGTTCGTGGATCCACCAGGCCATCCGCCAAGTCTTGACAAACCTCCAACTGAGGTTCAGCTTTGGAGAGCCGAGCCCAGAACTCTGACAGGGCCCCAGCACCTGAACGAAGCGGCCGAAGGTTGGAATGATAGTAGTGGTTTCAGAATAGATGACCCAACGTTTAAAAGATGTTTTATGGGGACCTCGATCTAAAGGATGTCTTGCGGGCTGTGCCATCTTCTCTGAAACCTTTATTGAAACATATCATACATCAGTCTGGAGAAAAAGGTTACCCCAAATATCAGCACAAGAAACTAGAATCTATTGGGCAGCCAATCAGTCGATGAAGATAGCCACGTTCATTGAGAGTACGTACATAGTCCGTTGGTTTCAAGCACGGGACCAAGCACTGCTCTCCAACATTCACATATGTGACAGGAGCATCTAAGGTTAAGTCAAATTTGCAGAGTGCCTTTTGCATGGCTCGTTCAGCATCATTCTGTGGACATCTTGCGATAGCACTGAGCGCTCCGTCACTCGAGGTCTTGGCAAATGCAGCAGCAATGGCCGCTACATGCTTTGCAGGGGCCTCAGCGCAAAGGTAGGAAGTACGATGGGGCCAAGTGGGTGGCTCGTGGATGATGGGGGATGTGGAAACGACTGCTTTCAGCACAGTTGCATGCAAAACGAAACCTATACATCAAATCATCTATAAGACTAAATGCAACCCTTTGACTCTGAACCCCCGAGTTTCCAATCAGCGGCACAAGACTCATTTAGAACCTTGTGAATTAAGCTTGCCACTGTACTCAGTTGGTCATAAAACAGCATGACCACAATCCGCCCTTGCAGCTACACAATAGCAATAGTATGGTGGCGGGAACTTTGGTGAAAAGGAGGCAGTTCTCATGCCTTCACCTCCTGTTCGAACATTGCGGCAAGTTTTTTGCCTTGGTAGTGCAAAATCAGAGCAGCCTCCAGCATTTCCACTTGTCCCAAATCTGAAGAATAAAAAAGAACAAGCATTTTCTCCCAACCATGTGACCTGTAAAGATCAAAACGGGAATCGTAGTCATGTGTGATCCCTATCTTGAAGAGCGCCAATTGGTCCCCTCCAGTGCATGCACGTAGTTTCCCAATGCCAGACCGACAGTGATGCAAGATTGCACCTGCCAACCTCTTGTCAGAACCAATCTCCCAAAAATGAACACCGTGCGCATGGAAGGATTTGGGTTTGGCAATGGCAGCGCGTGGACCTTGGACCTCTATGAGCTCAGAGTCACTATCGCCCCAAGGGAACATACATTTGTGCTGCTCCATGAACTCCTCATAGCGGTTTGTGGCCATTGCTCACCATGAAGGGGAGGGCACCCCAGGACAGAACGCTGGGGCTAGGAACTTCGTGGAAATCGTTATGCAAATTCAGCTAGCTTGTTTTTTTGCAAGTGTTTAGTGTAGTAGGCAGATAGCTCAAAGCTTGAGGGCTGCAAAGCTAGCAGCAAAAGAATCCAATCCAAGATGTGTATATATAAATGGGCTTGAGAACATGTTGAGGTCCCAGCTCCCATAGAAAGTTGCTTTCTCAACACTTCCACTTCGCGATGAGGTTGTTCAGCAACAACACCTGCAATGGGCAAGAGTTTGGGCCTTATCTATGCACTGTCATGGTCGAAGCGGGGGGGCTTAAAGGCAGAAGGTAAGCTCAGGGAAGCTGTCTCAGCAAAACTGTTTTTGCTTCTGCGGTCACCTTGAATCACCACAGCTGCTTGTGAACTTGAATTAAAAGTGGCCAGACCCAGCAAGCGAACCTAAGTGTTCTTCCTGCATAGATCAGACGGCATCACACCTTCGGTGTATACAGCTCCAATTTTGTCATGGAACATGTCTACTTTCTCTGTCTCTTTTGCTTCCTACGCGCCGGCTCCTCCGGCTCTACTACTTCATCGCCCTTCCCTTCTTCAGTTGCTGCACGCTTGGTCTTGATCTTTTTCAGCTTCCTGGATTGAGTTGGAAGGGACACAGGTGAGGTGCTCACTGTTCACGAATCACAAGGAACAATGAAAGCGCTGCATGTAATTACTGCATGGGTGCTGTGAAGGTGCTTGTTCTTGGCCTCCAACGCCACAGCCAAAGCAAGCCTTTCACACTTTAGCCATGCTATCCCTAAATTGTTCAAAATGAACATAGCCTGGCAAAGGGTTTGTCAGTGCACTACAAGTGGCCAAGTAGCTCCCGCTTGATCCCATCAAATTTTGGCTTCATGCGTTCTTTTAGCCTGATGGGAGTTTGACGAAAGACCCTCAAGATTCCAAGCGAAAGTTTGACAAACCTGCACCCCTTGCCAGTAAGGTCCAAGGCACCCTTCCTGATTTCCAAGTTTGATATCCGCTTGGATCTTTGCCAGATCATCATAAAGAGCGCCAAGATTGGCAATAGCCTTCTTCATTTTCTCCACCTCCCTTAATTGAGATCACGACTTGGGGCTATGGATGGTAGCAACATTTGTTGCACTTTTGCGTGACAGTTTACACATGCACATGTGAGGACAGGGCACTCAGATGCCTGGCGATCAGATGTGTCAATGCGGACCATGAACTTATGTAGTTTATCCCGCGCGTCAACGCAAGCCTTCAAGTACCGATCCACGGAATCAGCCTGAGCACTGTCTTCAACAACTTAACAGTTAACATAATATGTTCAAAATAGAAAATCACAAGCTCGAATGGGTGATATAGAATATACTTGTCAGCAAGGAACACCATCCACCCCCGGCTCAACAGTGCACATTCCCGAGCTATTCAATTCCCATTCATCAATGCCAAACGATGCGATGCTTTGGACATCGGCTTTGCCATTGCAAAGGGTGCGGTCCATCACGCCTTCCCGCTCCTCAGTGCCAGCCTTGCCTACCGTTTTGAACTCGACCCAGTATTCGATGAGGTCCTCATCATACTTGTTTCTCCTGAGTCCATGTCAGCGATCAACTATAAGCCATGAAGGTGGACAACATGCCAGAACAATTAACGCAGAACGTGTGCAACAAAGGATCCGAGTGTGACCAGGGTTTCGCTCACACCACTCCTTGATCTTATCCACCATGCGCCTGGGATGGTTTGCTATACAGTGGAGGGAGGGAAGAATGGTATGCATGCATGCATGCATGCATGCATCCACACATGCATGACATATATATCATGCAGCGAGTAACTGGGACAAGCCCAAACCACCCTCGCTTGAAGGCTTCTTCATATCAGCCTCGCAGAACCAACCTCCATGTGTATGGACATCCCGAACACGCAGGGTATCCTTGTAGATGTCCATTCTCCTCTTCCAATCGTCCTGCAGATGGAGAGTTCCCCTTACAGATGCACACCTATCATACGTACCAGAACTACACTGTTTTTGTTCATGCGTGTGCAAGCCCTACCCCTTCCTTGTTCCCATTTGCTTCCATCATTGTTTGAATTAGTTTTTCCCGCTCAGCACCCTTTGCAAGCCACATCTTATGAATAGCAGGGTCTACCTTCAATGCACCCTGCACATTGGCCGTACACAAGCGTTGACACTTGGCTCTGGCAGCTTGATAAGAGGCAGACTGCTCACCCGCATTGGCACCCTGCGAGGTAGACGAGGTAGTAGTAGGAGTCCGCGAAACCTGGCACTCAACCATAAGTTTGCTCCAGTCCATGTTCAATCGATTCAATCTCGTGCAGTGCATATACCACTAAAGTCGATCCACGCATATAATCAAAATACAAGAAACACTGTCAGAGGGAGGTGTCACTGTTGAGCTGTCCAGATGTTGCACCTTGCCAAGGCCTGCTTTCTGAGAAAGAGCCTTGATCTGGTCGTGCTGCTTCTGGATCATGCTCAACAAGGCTTGCTCACGGGCCTCGGACGCGGCAGGGTCTCGCGGAGCTCACCCCAGTTCAAAATTCCGATCAATGTACTATTTTCATCAACCCCATGGAAGCTGAGCATCAACTTTTGGAGGAGTAGGTTTGCGGCAATCCGGAGTGAAGGGGAGAGCTCTCACTTGCGGCGACGGTGTGTGGTAGGGGTCATCGACAACACTTGGAGCATCGACGGCAACCGATTCCATCAATAGTGAATGCTCTTGGAAGTACTCCTCCAGTTTTGAACAAGCATGAACAAACAGTCAAAGTTGGAATCCTGTCATTTCTTTCAATGCCCATTGTTGAAAAAGAAACGCTAAAGCCTCCAAGTTCATATCATCAATACCGTTGTCCTTGGCTCTATTCACATACATGCAGCTCGTACTATATAAAGCACATATGTTGACATATCAACTGGATCATTCAAGAGAGCTTCCTCATTGTTTGGGGTCTCCACTTCTGCGTGGCCAGAAAGCTCTTCTTCTGGTTGGAGCTGGCCTTGGAGGTCCTGAGAATGTTCGAAGCAGGTGTCCGAAAACAACGTCATGCGGATCTAAAAACAAACAACTACGGACACCTCATAATTGATTTGCTTTTGTATAGATATAGGAATTCAATTGCTCACTATATGTCAGGTTGACTGCCATTTGGTTCTCCCATGCAGTCATGTGTCCATCAAACTTCCCAACCCCAAACCCCTCCTTCACAAGTTCTTGCAGCTCTTCCACCGATTCAGGGAGCTCTGTCTTGACCTTCCCTAGAATCTGGTCCCTTCCAAGCGCTTCCATCATAGAGCTTCCACTCCATTGTTTGGACAGGAGGGGTTGCGGAACACTAGCCATGGGGGCAACCGATATTTAAGAAAGGAATCCTTGGGCAAAAAAAATCTACCTGCTCAAGATAAAGGACAGACCCCTCCAGATTCAAAACATGTTCGGTTTTGTTCGGAAAAAAACGGGCGTTGCGCGGTTTTTGATCGGAAAAAAAACGGACGTTGTACGGTTTGAAAAAGCAGTCGTTGAGCAAATTTCAGGTGGTTTTGAGGTGGTCTTAACAACATTGACAGCCTTTTCGACAAGAAAAACAGTCCTTTAACATAGAAAGCGGTCGTTCACCCCAGGATTCATGCTCTTTTTTGTATCAAACCTTCTCAAAATGGAAGCATGATGGATCAAAAATGGAGTCATTCTTGTTCAAAAGGGTATCCAAAGGGTACCGAGCTCCTGCCTCAAAGAACAAAAGCCCCTCCACACCCTGCCCAAGAGAGCAGGCATGGGTATAGAAGTATATGCTTAATGGCCATGAACATTTAGACAGCACCTCCAACCCACCCATCCTTTTCCTGCGTGGGTTGGACACCTGAGGCAAGTCAAAGGCCTGGCAGCCTGGCTACGTTGAACAACGCTCTCCGGCTGCATGATGAATTAGATATACTAACACACCCTGCTTTCATTTGGGTGCATGCTAAAAGTGGGTTGGCAAGAGAGGCTTCCACTCTGGTGGGACTTGTAGCCCACGGCAACCCTTCAGGTACACTACCGCAGAGACAAGGTTGGCATCTTCACACATGTCTGTGAAGGTGGCTTCTTGAAACAAAGCCTTTGCATCCGAATTGGCCACAACAAGTTGTAAAGGGGACACAGTAGGCTTGAAGTAATGGAACAAGTTCAGGAGCTTGCTTCCAAACTGCTTTGTATATTGCCTTAGGGTGGTTGACAGGGACCCTTGTTTTGGTAGTCCAAAACAATTGACAATTAAACGTAACTGCAAGGAAGAGTGGACAGTGGAGACAAGAAAACGTAAGCTCAATTGTAGGATCAAAGGCGCCCAGTTTTGGTAAGGTCACTGGTCCCTTGCCAGCGCGGTTTTCCACGTCCATCAACATATCGCTTTGTGGGTTGAAAGGTTTTGTCTCGTTTGCCCTGGTACTCTCTCTTGTTGAGCTTTTTGTGGGACCAGAAGCCTTGGATAGCTGAGGAAGAACTCCAAAGCGAAGTCCTTTTAGGAGTTTTGGCTCCAAAATTCCACATCCATATGTTGATGCGGAAAACCTGGGATGGGGGATCAAAGGCTTCGATCGATGCATTGAATGCTCTGCAGGAAACCTCAACATATACATCGAGAAAAACACCTTGCAATAGCAAAGAGGCGGTGATACGACGGCAAAGCCACATCATCCGTTCATGACGTAGCAATAAGCTTGATCGAGGTTGTTCATATACTACATGACCACCACAGGCTACAACCAACAACCCAAGGAGGGCGCACCTTGGGGCAACTGTATGCTTAAGGTGTTTTGCAAGAAAGGTTGAGAGGACACAAAGGCATGTGCAAGGTGCGCACTCTTCGTGGCCTCTGAACCTTTGTTGGTCTTCTGTCAACCAGTCCAGTCCTTCCCAGGCATCA